ATAGGAGCCAATGCTCTTAAACTACTTCTTCACTCTATTTTAATTACTGGGACAAAATGTAGTCAGGAGCATTACAGACCAAATTTCACGGTATCTCCAGGCTCACCTCAAAAAGTACAAGAAAAGTACCGTGAGAGGTATGAATAAGTCACACAACAGCTGTTAGTTTAAATGGTATTAAAATACAAAGCAAGTAGAACTTAACATTTGGTGCTCTCTTTAGCTAAGAAGTATGATATTCTATGAGTGATTCCATTGGGATTGGCATCAATAAAAGTATTAGAAGCTGGATCATAATGAGGGAACAGCAGATAAAAAGAATAATAATCCCTTCATATCTATTTCAGCAGCCAAGCAGACTGGAAAGAGTAGAAAAATACTTGCTGGTATTTAAGGTTTTTTATTCAAAAGTGTTACTTCATTAGGGAAGGCCTTACAACTGATGTGCTGGAAAAGGTGACCTTTACATTACTGTCACCATTTATAATAAAAAAGATTCATATACTACCCAAAACTCAGTTACATGCCCCACGACATGCAGAGGTAGGTAGGTAAGTCCCTGCCCAGAAAGTTTGCTCTTCAGGTTAAGACATGACAAGTGGGTACAATTACAATTAAAGGACAAAAAGAGAAAAAAATAACATAAACAGCCCTGCACAATAACTTAGATTACTTATCCCTATTAGTTCTATTCTTTTTCATAACATATTATATGCACTGTACCTCATCACATTAAGTTCCTCTCTTACAGATGTTGCTATAGAAGGGAGCTTTTAGGAGAGACTGCACAAAGCTGTCTTTGAGCTACAGAAGGAACCTTCTTCCACCTTTGGCCACTTCATCCCTCAAGAAAACACACATTCATTGACAAAACTTCAGGACAGAAGGAATTTTCCTTACTGGTTTTGGTAACAGAGGGCAAAAGAGTAATGTTCATCTACTCCAGCCGAATGGAATAAGCAGTCATTTTACCACCTCCTCTGGCATATAAGGGAAAAACAGAAGTCAGCCTGGAAAAGAGATGTGTGAATGTGGTCTATAAAATGAAGAGGATCATGGAGAAGGCAAATACAAAATGACTTGTTCATTTTCTTCCATACTAGTAACGGGGGCCTGAAATGAATCTGGCAGTTGCACACCTCAAGACAAATGAAAGGAGATTATTCTTCTCACAGTTGCATAATTACAATGTGCAGCTGTTTGATACGGGATGCTGGGTGTGCTAGAAGTGTGCATGAATTCAGGAGCAGCTTGGACAAGTTCATGGAAGAGAAATTCTCAAGAAATTCTAAGGCACAGAGAATCAGCACTTTGTGGCTTGCTACTTCCTGCATGGACCCCGAATAACCCCGTTAAAGTGAGAAGTTTTCTAGATGCTGACACAGAAGTGCTGACTTCTAACAATGCTGCTGAGCTACAAGCTTTTCTGGTATTAGTAAACTGGCATAGAAAACCCATTTCGTGCTTGTAAATCCTCTGACTAATTCGTTACAAATATGAAGATGCCTTGCTCTCCCACTAACCTTGTCTTAAACACTGGAGGAGAGCTGTGGTGTCTCACTGACTGCTGAAAGGCAGCGTGAACTTCACTAAATAATCACTTTGTGTTCTGAGAAAAGCCTAGAGAAGTTAAGCTCCAATTGATGCTCAATACTAGCTAGAATGATGATTTATAAGAATTGCATAGTACATGTTTGCATCTAGGATGTGAGACGATGCTCTCATCACAGGTAAAATCAAAAGCCCTTAAATATCTTGTCATTCTAATTTTAACTTGGCAAAGTCACTGAATCTTGTAAGTTATCTGAAATCTTCACCACCAGACTGCTGCTGAAGTCCATGTTGCAGCGGAGGGTTGAGGTATGGTTTGGGACTATAATACCAGGTTCCAGAAAGGCTTCTTAATGTAATGGGTGATTCTGATTTCTTGAGTTCCCCAGAGAGCGTATACACCAAAATACTCTCTATAGGCAAAACCTATGAATTCAAATTAACAAGAATAATTTACTGAGTCAACTAGGTTAATGTAAAAGTTTGAGTGACCTGCTTCTGCAGTAAACTCTACTTCTGAAGTGGGAAGAAATTGTGAGGATAGAAAGAAGTGAGGTTTTTGTCCAATATTATATATGATAGAATTAAATCAGAAGCAGGTAATGTAGATTAGATACTAATTTTCTGTGGGTCCCTTAAATTCTAGTGAATCAGCCTTTCTGAGTTTGTCTATAAATGCTTAAACATATACAAAACCAAGCATCCACTCCTTTTGAATGTGATACTGTATCACAGATCTGAGCACCTGATCACCAGATCTGAGTATACCATATGCTGTAGTATGACAGCTCTGAGCACCTGTAACTATCACTGAATCCAGTTTTGGCCAGGATGACCTAGGATAACTTGGAAGGAGACTTTTTTTTTGAGTGTTTCTTTTAACAATTTCTTCCAAACACCTGGTCAGGATTTTTGTTTGCTGAATTCTATTGGTGACTGGTTAACTGACCAGTTTGCACCCTAAAAACAGTCTTTAATTATGTGAGCAGAAGATAACTCAAATGAATTTTAATGTGACTAATTCAACACTTTGCTGGACTAACTTAGTCCTGAAGAAATGAAAAAACCAAACTCCCTGAGCTACACACTAACCTTCTTTCTTAATTTTCTGCTAGGATTACGGAGCACAGAGATGGAAGATCTATTTGCTTCTACAATCTGTATCTGAAGTAATTAACCTTTCAGGGCTAGCTAAGCAAAAAAAAAAAAAAAACAAACCTGCAAATGTTTTTGTACCTAGAACTCTTAAAAACCACTTTAACCCAGTTCATAATTGTATGTGCTAGATATGAGATAAGTCATCAGTCAGTGGAAAGGATTATACCAAAAGGGAGTCTCCCCTTTCTGTACACCCTTGGCTTAGGAGGTGCCAGTAGTGACCCAATATACTTAAAGGGTTTAACATTAAAATGTTGAGCTGCTAGTTTCTCATTTGTGTCTACATACAGGAACAAAGATTTCTAGGAAAGCCTGATCAGAAATGTTAACATCATAGTATGACAACACTATAGTACTACTTGAAAAGACATCATTATCAAAGTACTAAAAATGAAAATTACTGCAATTAATACAATTTAATTATGAAGATTCATGGTGATCGAATGTGGTGACAATCTGCCCAAAGAACTATTCTCCCCTGTTTAAAAGCATTTCTGTCGTCTTTTCAAAGAAAAGTCAGGTAATTCATCCACTAGCAAAATTATAGACAAGAGAACTGCAAGACGAACAAATAACAGATGACAAACTGAGCAATTTAATTTTTTTACTATTTTTCATCCTTCTTTCTTCTTTCTGCCTTTTCTCAGGTAACAGCTTAAACATATATGCTAGCTGATCCCACAACACCTTGTTTGTGTCTTGATGTTGTAATGGTAGACTTAACTATCAAATACAAATTTGAAAATTTTGCTTAAGACTGTAAATTATTTAAGGCAGGGATCAGCTCCAGGAAGGATGGTTTTGCTATTAAAACTCTGGAGTAGGACCCAAAAGATTGGGGCTCTGCTACAGCCTTCTGGTGTGATGCCAAGTCACTTGAATCCCAACTCAGCATCACACCAAGACGAGCAGCCCATGGCAAGAGCCTTGTTCCTGATCCTGAAAGGCTGTGTGTTTGTTCAGTGTTTATATGACACTTCCCAGTACTTTTTAGCTTTAAAAATAATTACCGATGGATGACAATAACACCCTGTTTGAAACTTTGCATTAAGCAGGTGGAGTCACGCAGCAATTGGTCTGACCTTGTTCGTGTTATCTCAGATGAAGCATGCCTGACACAAGATCTCTTTTGTCACTAGCCAACAAAGTCACAGATGCAGCTGGGAACCCAAGCCTTGTGCAGCAGCGGCAGGGTGAGCGTCCCTCCACTGCATGCCCTCATTGGGCAGGCGCAGTGCTGTCCTGCTTCGTTCCAGGCTTCTCAAAGGGCTTCTGCAAGGCTTGCCACAACCAACTGAGTGGTGGACCAAAGAACTCGCTCTGAGCCTTGCCAAGGTAAAATGGGATACGTTGGAGACAAGAGCATCTAAGGAACTTAAATTAGGTGCATCGTGATAAGGTATGAGGTATCTGGTGAGTGGCTGGAGGAGAGGAGATGGAAGCAGGACATGCTTGAACCTGCAGTGGATTTCACAGGGATGAACTCTTTGCTCCTAACAGTGTATTACTGACTTCAGGGGCCTGGGGGGACTAGGGGTGGGGAGGGCAGGAAGGGTATGCAAGACTCTGCCTGTGCAGGACTCATTGGAGGATCAGGGACTGATATTAGAGTTTTCTAAGAATGATCTTCTTTCCTTTGAAGATAAGTTACTAGTAGTAAGACTACACTTAAAATGCTTTCCCTACTTCACCTCGAAGTAAATGACTGGCTCCATTTACTCCGATGCTTACCTATCAGCTGGTGATTAAGTGATCAAACAGATCAGGGCTGATAAGTGTACATGGATGATTGCAATGATCAAAATGAGTTTTCAAGACTATCTATATGATTTAGAAACACAAATTAAGTTTGTTCCTGGGTTCTTTTAAATACAATCACTGAATAGCAATTCTATGAGTAACTTTTCTACTAAATGTTAGAAGAAACTTCACTCTGTAAAAAAATGTTGATGCAAATGTTTTAAGAATTTCATTTGCTTGCCCATAAATTACAGCTCTAGAGAAAAAAAAAGCTTCTGTTTGTCAAGGTCAGGTAGACAATCTTTAAGAGATGCTTAGAGGACATCCTGCATATGCAAAATCTCCATGGCAAACAGAAAGAATCCCAAAGGTATTTTCTTGAAACCTTGCTATCTTTAAGAAAGTGTTGATTCTTTTGGATCCAACTCATTAAATGCCTGAAGTACTCCTATGGTCACTATGACTTTTTTTTTAATGGGTCAAGGAAACCCTCAGGTGAATTCCGGGTTCTATTTTTAATTAGGTTTGAACTGTGTTCTTATTTGCTTTAGATGTTTGCAGTATGGATCACTACTCTTTTTCTTCTTGTTGCAGCCAGAGGTAAGACACACAGTTGATAAAATCTATAAACAGTAAAAATTGTTGTGTGCAGCTGGTGTAACCAGAATAACTATATTTTAGAAAAAGGATGTGCTTTGGAATGGATTTAACAGACTTCTTCATTAGGAGCATTGAGTTACGTCATTTATTTCCCACATTCAACCTATTAGTTTTTAATTCTGTAAAGGTTTTTGCAGCTAGCAAACAGAATGGGAATTAGAAAGGTATTTTTATATATGAATTGATACTAAAATTCTTTCAAAACAGTTTCCCCTACCCACCCTCAACCCACACCAGCATTTACAGTAGACACAACTCTTGTAATGCCAGCCTAGGCACTTACTCTTCACAGTGCTATGCAGAGAACAAGAAAATAGTCCCAGTCCAAAACACATCTTTACCTATTGGAAAGAATAGTTCAACAGGGACAGACACACAGGAAGAGCAGAGAGAAACAAAAAGACACAGCCCAAAAGTTCGCTGGCATCAGAGGAAAGGCCCCTGTGAAAATGACTGCATCACTTGTGGAGTCTCTAGCTGCAGCTCCACAATCAAATCTTCTCTTTCTCTAGATGTATTTCCAGTATCTATCACTCTACCCCTGCGTTTCATACAGAGTAACGAATAGAGTAAGTCACGGTCTGATGTAGTATGAATCTGTCACCTATCCTAGGTAACAATAGTTTCTCATTTTTTTCGGTATCTTTTTAATAGCAATAAAAATTATTTGGGATTTCACAACTGTTGTGCTATAATAGTGGGTAAGGATGACATTTAATGGTAACACCCTTATGTCATATTTGCATCATTACTGTATTAAAGCCACAACAGAAATTGGGAAACTCTAGTCCTTCAGGCACAGACCACACTTCCCAAGGCTGTGCTTTGCTCTAGGCTTCCACTCAAAATCCGCTTCATTGCTTCCACTAAAATCTTATGGTGATAAAAAAAATAAGGGAGATATGTTCAATGTACATTATGGAGCAACCAGAGGTATCTGTTTTAATGTTTTGGTTTCATTTTACTCCTTCATGAATTGTTGCACAAGAACTAACAATTTAGATAATCCCTGGAGCCTTAGCACTAATTTGAAGGACTGCTCTCTGCTGGCAGCAAAAGCTGGTTTGTTCTCTGGATCCATAAAAGATCAAGATTTTATTGTCTTTTTCTGATGGCTGCATTAACAATATGTTTGACAAAATAAGTCATGAGTTCACCAACTAGCTCTACTCTATGCTTGAAACAGGAATTGGTCTTGAAGTTGAAGTCCCTGCTACCTGCACAAGGCACAGGACCACAACTGAGCCCCTTAATGAAAAATAAACACGGGTGCCATCTTAATCTGAATCAACCATTTTCCACTTCCCTGGTATAAACACTGTCCTGCCGGCTTCTTGTAAAGTGGTGAATGCCTAACCTGCTACGTTCCCAGAACACTAACATTTTTCTTTGCGTACCCCAGGAAGGGAAGTTTGCTACAAAAGGCTTGGATGCTTTACAGATAGCCCCCCTTGGTCTGGGATCCCAGGGAGAGAACTTGCAGGCTTGCCCAGCTCTCCGGAAGCTGTGAACACCAATTTCCTCCTTTACACTAGAGACAACATCATGAAATATCAAGTAAGAAACTGCTTTGTTTTAATAACTGATATTCAACAAGTTATACACACAGTTTCTTTTCTCCCCTATTTTTGCTCAAAAGTCTTGCGGGAGAGGCCCCAATTCTATTTTACACACTCCATGAACAATCCATCCCAATTTCCTTTCATCTCATTTCTTTTTTTCTTATTTCAGCTCTCTGACAGGCCAGGTACACTTACACCATATTAATAACAGCCTTCTAACACAAGTCATCTGAGATATTTTAGATATATACTTCTCTACAGTAAGCTACAGGCTTGGGGAAGAGTGGCTGGAAAGCTGCCCAGCAGAGAAGGACCTGGGGGTGCTGGTTGACAGCCGGCTGAACATGAGCCGGCAGTGTGCCCAGGCGGCCAAGAAGGCCAATGGCATCCTGGCCTGTATCAGAAATAGTGTGGCCAGCAGGAGTAGGGAAGTGATCGTGCCCCTGTACTCGGCACTGGTGAGGCCG